CTCTGTGATGATTTAATTAATTAATATTAAATTCTATGATAATATTTAAACCTTGCAATAATTTAATTAATATTAGCCCTGTGATAATTTAATTAATATTTGACTCTGCAATAATTAATATTAGACTCTGCAAAAATTTAATTAATTTAATTAGTCAATCAAAATGCATAATTCCTAATCAAGAATTTAACAAAAGACCTATATAGGACTTTGTCTGAAGTCTGTTTGAGCTAGTTCTAAAAAGTCCTAATGTAGTTGACTCAAGGATCAGGTTTTTACGAGCTTTTTAACAACCCTATATTTTATGAATGTAATATCATAGTTACTATAGTATAAAATAATCAAATTTTAAACTATACATTACATATATAACAAGTATTACAAATTGGTAAATTTTTAATCGATTAGTTGATTAATTATTTTTTCAGTTGACAACTAGTTGCAACTAATCAATTAATTAATCAATTATAACTAATCAATTAGTTGTCAACTAATTTATTTTCGATTTTTAAACTTTCAATTTGTAATACTATAACATAATTTTGCTATTAATTTTATTAATAATGATATTATATAGACTTTGATCTTGTTACTCTCAATCTTACATATTTTTTTGCAGCAAAAAAGGTGTCACAAATAAGTTTGAAATGCTGCAAAGTTGTGATTTTGCAGCCTAGATATGGGACTTGACTTTTTTTCTTCTTTTGTTTCTTTTTTTAGAAAGCTTTCAAAAAATGCTTTAATTTTTTTAGGATCAGGTTCTTTACTTGTTTCTTGCGGGAAGAGAGGTGGAACCAGAGTTTCCTGATATTTATTATCATCTTCCATGACACTAGTGGGAGATCTATTACTTTTGGTAGTTAACTTATGATATGAAAGATAAAGACAAAAAAAGACCAGACCGGAGATTACCAATGTGACTAATGCAGAGATAAAAACTTGTAGAAACATGTTGGCAAAAAATTGTAAAAGCAGTGTGTATTTTCTACTGTATAAAAATTCTTTATTTTAAATAGTAAAAAAATTATGATTTAGCACCTGATAATGGTTACATTACATTAACTGGAACTGCAACTTATTTCTTTAACCTGGTAACTCTATAATAGAATAAAAGTCTATGAACTCACTAATTTTACAGTAGTTTAATAAAAAAAATAATGAACCATAAATCAAACTTTTGAATCATAGTAAATTAAACATAATCATATTCAATAAAAAGTTCTTTTTTGCACCCGCTCATGTTTTAAGAATATTTTTTTTCTGTTCCAAGTTCTTATCTTTTATCAATTTTTGCAACAGTACGAAATTGAATTTAATATATTTTTTTTGAAGTAATTTTTTTGAGTCAGAAATTACAAGACTTGTCAAGTAATAAAAGCCTATATACAAATATACAAATTATGCAACAAAAAAAAAAGATTTTAGTTATATCGTATTATTTTACACAATTCCTGGTGTATCTGTTAGTTTTTATTTTATTTTGTTTGTAAATAGTAGAGTTTTTAATTATAAAAATCTTAGAAATTATTATTGGGCCAAATTTTTCATAGGTACGAGCTTTATTTCAAATAGCGTGTTGCATTATTTTTACTCATTTTTAACACAACACAAAAATTAAATAAAAAAATTTTTTTTTATCTTAATAATTTATAGTCACCACTATCTAATGTATTTATCTTGTACTTTTCTAACATTCCAAATTTTGTTTTTGAACAGGACAAATCAGATCAATATGGGTACCAATATTTATTTTCTGTCAAGTTACCTAAATCATGTCTCAAAGATCTTTCTCACTCAAAATTTGAATCGAAGGTTTCTATGCTAACAGTCAATTAAGATTTAAAAAAAAAAATTAATAAGAAAAAGTTAAAAAATAGAACAACTAATATAAAGCCTTAATCTAATTATTTTTAAATTATCATTTTATTATTATTATTATATATTTGTTATTATTATCTTATTAAAAAAATAAGTTCACAGATATCAAATTCATAATCTCTAATAATATCATAAAATTCTCACCAAAAAAATCTATTGTTAAACTTATTATTTATCATGTAATCAATCTTGTTAAGGTTCTAGTATAATAAAATATAATATAATACTATATATAATTACAAACTTCTTCAAGATCTTATTTAAGTTTAATTTAGAAGAAATCCGGTAGCTTCTCAAAATGGTTTGATTAAAAAACCTTAAAGCTTTGCTTTATTGGATCAAATTACCTAGAACCAGCTTTGATAAACTGATTTTTATACTTTTTTGTAAATTCAAGCTAGCATTTTTACTTGCATTTACATCAATAGAGTTAATTTCCAATACTAAACTATAGTTTTTAAGTATAGAAAGAATAATTAACTATTGAATATAAATACTTTTATTTTTTTTCAGATAGGACCATTCATAAACAGTAGTTATGTGACAACTTAAGATTACACAATTTAATATTCCTAATCTGGTTTTGCTCACCTTGACAATAGCCAACTTTTAATATTTCTTCACAAGTGTGGTATCCAACCACTTTTATAAATATAAGAAAGCTAATATTATGGATCCCGCCTATCACTTTTGTGATTGATATACCACTTTTGTGACAAAGAAGAAACTTGAGCTCTCTTGAATTGTAATTGTACGTTTCCTTTTTTTTTTTTTTTTTTGCTAAATCATCATCAGGTGGATGAATTACAATAAATTTGCATTTATGTAACCATATGTTGTACAATAAGTGCCATCTGTTCTTCGCCAAAAGTAATAAATAAAATAATAATCATTAAAAATTTTAAAATTAAAAAAAAGATACTATTTACGAATAAATAAAAAAAGAAAAAAAAACGATAGATACGCCCGGAATTGCGTGAAATAATACGATCTAACTAAAATCTTTTTTTTGTTGCACTATTTATGATCGCCACTGTAATAACTATTTTTATTTACGTAAAATAAGCTAATAATATATCTTATAAAAAACATATACCTCATTAAGAATTTTTTTTTTTTTATTTCTTATTTAGATTCATATTTTTCACTTTTGATGTTAGTGGATGAGAATCGAATCTATAATAATCGGCTTAATCGTTAATCGAATTAAAATCTATCGCTATTCTCATTTTTGTCTAATCGTTATAATCGTTTCTATAAACGATTACATATTTTTAGAATCGATTCCAGAATCAGAATCGATTCTGAAGTATAAAATAGTAATCTGAAGTGAAAATCATGGTGCTTTCCGATTTTCGGAGTATTTTAGATATTGTCGGAGGCTATCGGCGTTACCTCCACTCAAAAGAAACACAGTTTAAAGAGAGGTGGGATTTGATTTGGCACGGTCAAGGCAGTAGCGAAACGTTATGCAATGGTAAGTGTTTTATTTTATTTATCTTGGTCTTTTCTTACACTACTCCTAATATTCATTAATAATTGTTCTCTCTAAATTTACATTTCTTTTATACATGTTTCGGGTACACAAGAAAAGCAACAAAAGAAAGAAAAAGAAATCTAACGAAGAACAACCTTAAATTTTGTCATGGCGTTGGACACAGCCACAAACTAATTCGGATATGGTTAATTTAACCCATTGACATCTCTAAGCCACATCTTTGACAATCGGGTTAATTATCCAGCCTTTTCGGGTTTAACCACGAATTTGCTGATCATTGGTCCTACGGGATCTTCACATGCGATTCGGGTCCATTTGGCATGTGGGTTTCTTGAGCTTTGTGTATAGTTTTGAGGCACGGTTCCTTCTTTCTTTGATTTGTCAATTTTGCCTCTGACAATATATATACTAAGTGATCAATAGGCAATTTAGAATCATAGAGGTTTCCCATTATCATCACAAAGAAAACCACCTTTTTGCAAAGCGCTATAATTATTATTGTTTACCCGATATTTTTTACAAAATTTGCTGCAGTGTAACATTAATATTTTGGCCAGAATTAAAAGTAGTATAGAGCACAATTCGGGCTAGGTAATATAAACTTGACCAAACGGCACTTCCAAAATTTTCCGATTTCCGGAGAAATTTACAAAATTTAGACAAATATACACGTAGGGTTGTGTTACGAAAATTACATTCTTACATTTCATGTTATTTACGTAAGTTTCAGTAAATTAGATTTCATGTAATTTTCCTCGTGTGTACAGTACCAACATTAGTCTGAATAAATGATTCGTATTGTCGCTCTTTAATCATTACGACATTTAAATGATAAAATGATAAAAATTATAACACGTAAATTCATTACGTGTTCAAAGTTGCAATTACATAAAATATTGATTTACAGAAAATACACGTCGCTTACTGAAATATATGTTTGACAGAAAATTTAAAACTTAGAGATTTCTCACTATCATTACAAAAAAAATCACAGGGTCACGCCTTATTGCAAAGCTATGTATAAAAGTATAAGGCGTATAATTTATTAAATGTTAAGCCTATAGTTTATACACATCTTTAGTGACTGATTTTTATCTACAAATAATTAAAGCTTTTTATCATCAAATCATTTCTAGTTATATGAATTATTTTTTATTAACTCCCATACGTATTATCAACTTGAAAACTTTACCGAAAATGGTAGTTTTAGTGAATATTAATCTTTAGATTATATCTTAAATCTATTATTTTATTATTACTATTAGACTTAAAAAAACAGATAGAACTCTGTCGGATCATGAAGATTAGTATGTATAATATTCGATTATCGATTATGAGCGATTCGATTATCGATTGTAGTTTTTAGAATTAATTCTCATCCCTATTTGATGTTCAAGTTTTCATCTCCTGTATTCAATTCTTAATTGTCGATTATGTTATAATTTTCTAAATTCTCTACTGAATTTAAATTGTTATTTGATACTAATATTTTGATAATTTCTCATATGAATTCTTCAGTTTCGATAATAAAGGATAGTATGAAATATATTGTACCTATACCGATATTAAACAAACTTACATAATAATAATGATTACCTTTGAAAAAATGATGATTTTGACGTTTTTATATTTGTCTATTATTTTCATCTTCAACTTCTATAAGTTTCGTAAGCAATGCTTCAAATTCATCTGGTTCTATTGTTTCTTGATCTACAAATTATTGTTAAACATAGAATGTGCATGGAAAGTTTTATTTTACGACAATATTGAGTAATTATAAATAGTTAAATTTGTAAAAAGATTTACTTTTAATATTTTATCGTCAGTGCGAGCGATGATATCACTATCCTTGATCGACCAATCATAATTTTAGGTGTAACGTGGAAATCAAAACAATCGCGAAATTTCGTCTATGAAACCATCTTTCGCGTTCTAATTAAAAAATTCCTTGCTAAAATTTGGGTTAGGAACTTATTCGCTATTGTCTTCCCTTAACCGCATATTGTTAGGTTGTAAATTGGTGCCCCGTTCCATATCACGTTTTTTTTATTATTTTTATTTTTATTATTTCGTTAAATTTATCTTCTACTATTTGTTTTTTTTTTTTTTATTTATTTATATTTTATTATTTCTCTTTCCTGTAAATAGTTATTATTTATATTTTTGTTCTGCTTGTATCCTTATTTACGTTTAAGAACCGTGGTAACAATTAACGTAAACATTAGGGCAAGCAGTTGGGGCTAATTGTTTAAGCCATAATAATAAGTTTGTAAAACGATAAACATAGAGGTGAGCAGTGTGGCTTTGTACTACGTGAGGCTTAACCACGACTGCTCACTAATGAGAAGGATAGGCTTAGCATTAGTGAATAGAATAGTATTAGTATAGTCTTCCCCAAGAATAAAATTTGTATAAATAGGAGTCCTTTTTGTCTTCCAAAAAGGACAAGTTACGAATTACGAGTTATAAAACAAAGTTATCAATAAAAACAAGTCATTATTACCTTAAAATCCCGAATCCTTAAGTTTCAAAAACATAACAACTTTGCTAATTAAATAATCGAGTCCTCACTACGTTTTTCTTTTTTTTATTAAAGAATACGCTGGGTCTCTTAATTAACATAAAGGAAGTAAGCATTGAGGCCGAATAGATCTTTCACTGAGTAACTAAGAGCCGTATTCTTGACGAGTTATATAGGAAGTATCATCACGTAGAGGTTGGAACCGGTTTTAATAATTTGGGTTTATCACATGAATTTTGTGATATTTTAGAATTTATTAAAATTTAATTGGATAAATTTCTAAAATATCACAAAATTCACGTGATAAACCCGAATTATTAAAACCGGTTCCAACCTCTATCATCACGAATATTATTATCGGACGATTTAGGTATCACGAGTAACGATACACTGTAGAATTGTTAATAGAATCAATCATTATCAGGACTATACGATTGTTTTATTATTGGTATTGTGATCAACGTTTGGATCACATTTAAGTTATTAGTACCCTTATAGATATCATATCATTCCGATCCACCCCTAAATCATCATCCCTTTTGATTAACGACCATTGACTTGAATATAAATATCCCACGATATTACTTACCCTTATAGTGATTAGATTATTAAACCAAGTATCCCGTTAACTATTGGAGCTAAACCGTGCAACGTTCCCCGCTCTCCCAATTTACAATAGTAACAATATGCAAAATTCTTTAATTGCCTGAGTTTTTTAGGTTAGGGTTTAGAAAAGTAGGTGTGATCTTCATCAATATATTGGACTTGGCTCTGGTGACGAATCCGCCCGTAACATTATCATAAATTAATGGATTCATTTGAAATTTATGGTCGTTTCTTGCTAAAAAAAAAAAAAAAAAAAAACAAAAAGATGGTTTTGGGAATAAAATATATCGAACGACTTATTTGAACAAAATCATACTCTAGAAACAAGTTTGAAATGGAAAAATAAGAATTTTCCAAAGAAGATTTGAAAAATATTTTGAGGCAATGGGAAGTTAAAAGTAAAGATCTTGGAAGTAGGGATGTGAGAAGTCGCTGTCCGGAATCCAGAATTACGTATTGATTTTTGTCTGAAACTAGATTCCGGCCAGATTGAGTTCGATTAGCTCGGAGATCACAAACCGACAGATCACAAGACAATGTAAAGAGCAAAATTTCATCACCCCATATGTACTACGCTCTGACGTAGTACAACGTCTCATTTCTCTATTTTTAGCCTCGTCTTAGTTGTTTATCATTCACCAAAATCTTGGAATATGGTAAACATATTAACGTTAAATATATAAGGCATGTTAGTTATATTCAAAATGTAAAGCATAAAAGCGATGACATTTTACCTCCAATAAAGATATCTCAGTTTGAGTATAAATTATAAAGTTTTAATTCACATTCGTTATTAAATAATTAAACTGACCTGACTCTAATTACTCGGACCAAGTCTTTCCACACCTCGATAGACGCCTTCCACTATTAGGGTTTAGTTCGTACGACGGACATATTTTTGTGCCACTTTGGTATTCATTTCGGAGATTTCGGAGGTTTCGAGAATTTAGGTTTATTTTACCTTCCTGATTTTGTAAATGGCCAAATAACTCTATAATATATAAAGTATATAACGATTAGGTTAAGTGTGAACAAGAAATAACAAAATAAAAATAGGAAATTGAGACTACTAACGACTAAATGACTTCATTTGAAGTTTCTCAAATACTAGACACGGGTACATGCAGAGCTCTAGCTTCATTGCATGTAGACCAAACATCCGTTATGTGCTAGCGTAATATATGATACTGGATCATGAAAGACCAAGTGTCCATTATAGTATAATGTAAAATGATTAGATACAACAAATTTAGCATACGTATGCGTGATGTTCAATTATTAAATTAATGCACAAATTGACTGAAATAAGAGAAGATCTACTTGATCCTGTATTTGTACGTTTATATGTAATTGTTTTGATCTTCAAATATTTTTGGTTTACTTGAAAGCATTCCTTTATTCGAAATATATTTCTCTTTTATTTTCGTTCTAACTTTAAATGTAAATTACAAATAGATTCCTGCAGAAAAAAAAACTAGATAAATAACACGTTCACTTAATTTATAATTTATACAAAATTCCAAGGTTAGTATTTATCGATATTAAATTTCATTTATTGTATTTATTAACTTCAATAATACTTCTGAATTTATATATTATAGACAATGTCCCACAGTGAGTCGGAATCAACGGATGACAATACAATTTTATCGAGCGAAGCTGATAGCCCAAGAACGATTACCAGTCTCGAAGATGAACCCATGCAAACGGTTGCCACTTTTTAATTTTATTGTAACATATGACTCGTTGCTAATCTTTTTTTCAATTATATAGAACGTGATTTCCGAAGAATTCTACCCAATCATCCATAATTTCAATATATTACCATTTAATCACCTGTTAAAAGTTCAAGAGTCTTTATATTCAGACGTTGCTTCCACATGCAGCTTAACGTCCATAACATCTACAACTGAGGATGAAGCTAATGAGGATATAATTTGTAAGGTGAATGTAAGAGAGGCGAAGAGAATTTATTCGAGCGACAATGAGAGTTGTTCAACTCTTAGAGACTCTTCAGATAATGAAGAAGCTTATGTACAAAACCAACAAAAAAACAAAGTTAGCGATAGTACTATTTTGCCAATTCATACAAATTGCCAAAAAAATTTATCCTCCACTACCTCCATATTTTCAAAAAATAACTGTATGAAATACGAATATCAGCAAAATAAGTTTCAATCATGTTCAAGATATAGAACAGTTATTGATTTTAGTAAATCAAAGTTTGAAATAAGAAATTATTTTGTGCCTGGAGAAGAAGACTGGAAAAAATTGAATATTTCATTGTATAATTTAGAAAATACAAATGAGTTTAATAAAATAGGTGGATTTCGCGAGGAAGTAGAACAAAATTTAAATGTGACAAATGATTTAGACAAAATAGATAACTTTGAAACTTTTCTTAGCTCTGGTTTCTCTAAAACATCAAATAGTTTACAGTTTTCATCTAAAATTTTGAGTAGTCGAAAATATTTTAAACCTTCAGAAAAAGATTGGAAAAGATTGCAATGGTCAGTGGACGATTCAAATTGGAATAATGATGAAGGAATGGTTATAAGTTCCAATAATCTTGTATGCATGGAATTTTCTGCAAGAAAGAGAAAGTATAAATTAGATAATGAATAAATTTATAAAATATCTCTTTTCTGTTTATTCAAATATTTAACAATATTAAAATCATGTGATAATTTTGAATTAAATTTTTTCGAAATAATGTATTTTTATTATACAAGTTTAAAATCTACATACCGTAATATTAATATTTACAATTACAATTATAATTAATTGAAGTAAATAAAACCTTAAAATTTAAATAATTATTAATATATTTTAAGCATAAAATAAATCATTTAGCTAAATTGAAAAAAATTATAAACTTGTTTAATCACATGCTTAGTATAAAACATAAACTATTCGAATTTCTAAATAAAGAAAATCATTAAAAATATGAGTTGTAGAACTGTACAGTTTTATTACAGTAAAGATCTGCTGGATCTAATATAATTCGGACTGAAGTTCCGTAAAAGATTAAGTTAAGAGGTTCTGATACGTATCACTCACGAGGAAAGCAAATAATCGATTAGGAAATTTAAATAATGGATTAATTTTCTACGTATAGGATTTAAAAAATAAAATTTCAACGAAATTGTTCTATTTATCTTAACTATTTATGTAATTAATATATCCTAAATTTCTTTTTGTGTACGTATTATTAACCAATAATATACTTGGTTTATATATGTTGTGCCTTGCCTCAGGTGATAACTGAGGCACTTCGGGTGTCGATCGTCAGGTGAAATGCGTAACCTGTAGATCGGTTACCTGAGGTACCTCAGTCGTCACCTGAGGCAATGTTCTGATAATAGTCCCGGGGTTAAAAACTCTGGGTTAGTAAATCGGAGAAATACGTGGTCTACGTATTAGTCAATAATTTGTTTAAAAGGAATATTCGTGATAAAGAAAAAATTCCAGATACTATTGATATTCAATTTGATTCTGATACAAACCTGGATGATGAATGGCCGGTAAACTTTATTTAAATTATGATTATTTATTTATTATTTATTTATTTTCAATTTTTCAGATTTTCTAAAATCTTTATTACAAGAATTGGATGATGCAGGTAGATTTCTATTAGACAAATTAGTATTTATTATAAATTTTTTATATTAATTTCGGGTTATCTCTTAAACTGTTTAGCGGACAAATTTGCCTGCTAAAATATATATATATATATATATATATATATATTTTAAATTATTTAAAATTTTATTAAAGATGAGTTTTTTCTTTTCTAAGCTAAAATAAAATTTTGATATTTGTTTAATTAGTATCTATTAAAATTTTTATATTAATATAAATTTTTAATAATTAATATAAATTTTTAATAATTTTGATTATTCTAAAATTTTACTAAAATTTTAAAAAAAAATTCAAATTTTTATATGTTTTCAAAGAGAAATTTTTATTTTACTACAAATAGGAGTTAAAATTTTAATTATAAAATAACAAAAAAAGTATTATAAGTAAAATTATGTAATTTGATTTGTTTACAATTTCTGTTATAAATATAGTATACTTATTCTTAATAATTTCAAAAATTTCAATTTTTATAAAATTTTATATTTTTTATTTTATTAATAATTTGATTTTTTTTTCTAATAAATTTAAAATTAAAAATACTAAAATATAATCTTTAATTATAATTTTAATTTAAAAAAATTTTTTTAAAAAAAATTTTAAGTTTTAAAAAAATAAATTAGAAACAAAGTTTAAAAATTTAAAAAAAATTTTAGCTATCAAATTTGCTAGCTAAACTAGATAGTTTAAGAAATAATTTCTAAAAAGAAACTCAAAATTTTTATATTTGCAATTAGATAATAGTAGTATTTCTTTAGATAAATTTATATTTTTTATTATTATTATTATATTATTTTTACTAATTTATTTTTCTGTTTTAGATATAGATTCTAAATTTTTATTTATATAATTAAATAATTAAAGTAATATTTTAAATAAGTTTTTGTTACTATTATTATTTTTACTAACTTTTCTTTAGATAACTTAAGAATTTTATAAATACTATTAGATAGTAATAGTATTATAAATAAATTTATATACTATATATAGTATTTGTTATTATATATTTTTTATTTTTTTTACTAATTTATTTTTCTTTTTTTAGATAATTTAAAACTTTTATATAGGTAGTATAATAATAATAGTAATACTTTATACAAGTTTATATTTATTACTTTTTTTTTAATAATTTATTTATTTATTTTTTGTTTTAGTTAATTTGTAATCTTTATATATATAATTAGATAATTTGAATAATAATATTAGTACTTTAGATAGTTTATATATTATGAATTTATATTATTTTACTAATAATTATTTTATCAACAACTCATTTAGCTGACATTATACCAAGTAACAATTTACTAAAAATATATATTTAAAACTAATAAAACTCTAACTCTAACTCTATGTAACTAAATAAACTTTTAGTAAAATAACTATCAGTAAAGTAAAAGTACTGATATATTATATATTAAATTTTTTTGCTAATTTTATTTTATTTATAACTTAAAATCTTTATTAATATAGTTAAATAATAGTAGTAATATTTTGAGTAAGTTTATTATAATATTTATTATACTTTAATTTTTTTAAAAAAAAACAATTTTTTGTTTTCAGATAAAAGCTTTAAACTTTTATATATCTAATTAAATAATTTAAATAATAGTATTAGTACTTTAAATAGTTTATAAATTTATATTATATATTAATTTTTTTGGTTAATTTAATTTATTTTCTTAGATAATTTAAGATTTTTGTTTATATAGTTAAATAATAGTAGTAGCATTACAGATAAATTTATTATAATATTTATTATTTTTTTATTTTTTAAAAAAAATTTTTTTAAATTTCTGTTTTCAAATAAAAGCTTTAAATTTTTATATATATAATTAGATAATTTAATTAGTACTATTAGATAGTTTATATATTATATATTAAATTTTTTTTGTTAATTTTATTTTTTTAGATAATTTAAAATCTTTATTTATATAATTAGATAATAGTAGTATTATTTTAGATAAGTTTATTATAGTATTTATTATTCTTTGTTTTTTAAATAAAAAATGCCAATTTTTTGTTCTAAATAAATACTCTAAATCTAACAATTAAATAATTTAAATAATAGTATTAGCACTTTAAATAGTTTATATATTGTATATTATTTAATTTTATTTATTTTTTAAATAACTTAAAATTTTTAAATATATAGTTAAATAATAGTAGAAAAAGTTAATATAGTATTTGTTATTCTTTATTTTATTTTTTTTTTTTTACTAACTTTACTTTTCAGATAATAGTAATAACAACTTTTATATATAAAATTAAATAATACTAATAGTAACATTTTGAGTAAGTTTATATAATATATTGTTTTATTTTTATATAGTATAATTTATATATATATATATATTACTTATTAACTTATTGTTTTGTTTTCAGATAATTTGAGATCAAAAATTTAATAATCTTGAAAAAGCTGTTCAGATTACTAAACTAACATATAGTAGATTTAAAGTTCAAATCCTACTATTGATAAAATTTAAAAATTAGATTTATCTTAAATAACTCTATTCTATTCTAAGATTATAATTCTGTAAATTGAATTGTATCTAATTAATCAAATATAGAAAGTGTAATACTATATTGAAAAAAATCTCAAAAATATAATATTATATTAATAAATCTTGATAGAAGCAAAAAAACAAAAAAACTTAAATAGTAGAAATTTCTAAATAGTAAGTAATACAGCTTTTTACAAATTATATTTATAAAACTTGATCTAAGAGAAGAAAAACTTTTATCTAGTAAAGTATATATAAGACCAAGTCATGTAATACAAAAGTAAATCTATATCAAGCAAAAGTATAGTAGTACTAACTTTATTACATAATATAACAATGCACATAGTAGCATTACATAAATTTTACTCGAACAACCACATTCTGATTAGACGAAATCGACGATCAAATTTTGAGTGACTATATGTTCGAAAAATTTTTTATTTCAATTCTATAAATTCGTAGAATTAAAATAAAAAAGTTTCAAAATTTTGTTTCAACTTGTTATGATAGTCGCCTAAATTTTTTTCCAACTTTGAGCGAATATATCTCGAAAAAAAACTCATTCAAAATTGATGAATTTTTATTTTAGTTTATTTCAATTCTACAATATAAATTTGTAGAATTGAAATAAAAGAAATCTTCAATAAGTAGTTATCAATATTTATTAGTTCAAAGTTTAGAAAAAACTTTGTCATAACTCCTGTTTCGATAGTTTTCCCAAACTATGTGAATATATCTCAAGAAAAACTCATTCAAAATTAATATAAAAAACTTTTCATTGAGATATCTTCGTTAAACTTTTTTGGAAAAACCTTCCAATAAGTTTCTGTCTTGATGGTAGGCTAATTTTTTTTTCAAATTTTGAGTGATGAATTTTTATTTTATTTTATTTCAATCCTATGAATTTGTAGGTATTGAAAAAAGTTTTTTTTTTTTTTTTTGTTAAAATATTTATTTTTTAGTAAAACTTGTCTCTGAATTAGTTTTCGAATTTTGATAAGATTTTTGATTTATGAATTTCGATTTACAATAACTTTCTAATTTATTTCGAACATTTAGGAAATACTTTCGATATAATTTCGAACATTTCGAAAATACTTTGATGACATTTCGAAAATACTTTCGATATAATTTTGAATATTTAGACAATACTTTCAATATAATTTTGATATAGATCTCTCGAAAGTATCGAGAAGCATCTTTTAAGATATTGTTACTCAAAGTTTTGAAAAAATGCTAAGTTATAATGTTATTAATAGAGCGTAAAAAATTTGGTTGTTCGAGTAGAATCTAGCCATGGCTAGGGTACTATCCGAATGTAAATGTGCCAATTTTTTAAATGCTAGTTCTTTTTTATTGATTAAAAAAATCGAGTGTCCCAACCAGTAAATTTTCTCAAGTCAATCACGTGCCCACTTGATATTGAGAACGGGCGGTTTGGTCACCGGGACCAAACCAATCTTCTAATCGATCAGCAATTGG